GAGGTTAGGGGAGCCTCTCCCTGCAGTCCTGCTCGCTCTCCCTCTGCTCCATCTGAGGTTAGGGGAGCCTCTCCCTGCAGTCTACCCTCTAAGTGCTCCTGTCATATGTAAGAGGTCCTTCTGTTCGGTCAGATTGTCTTGGCGGTGACATGAGCCTAAGCAGAGCTCGCCTGATGTCAGAATCTTTTATGGGATGTGCTGCTTTTAAAAACTGCCCATTTCAAAGTGGAGTCCCTTTTCTTGGCATACTATCACCTCATGAATTTTTGTTCCCGGCACTAAACTAAACTGCTAGTTAGAGGCCTGGAAATCAAGTTAGGTAGGTATCTGTGGTGGTGGTTGATGTGAAGTGCTGTTGAGTCGGTTCCGACCCATAGTGACCCTGTATAGGGTTTCTGAGAAGCTGCTGGTGAGCTTGAAACGCTGACTTAACGGTTCAGACAACTTTGCAATCCAGTGCATTAGCCCACAGTGTCACACCAGAACTCGGGTACCTATGGTACGGGCCTTGAACCCATACCGTTACTGAGAACCTGGAAACTGGTTTTGAAACCTAGAGCTCTAACTCTAGCAAAAAGCACTCCCCCTCCCCCCCGGCACATGCAATTTGAGAACTTGTCTGTGTAAAACAGTAGTTTAAAAAATGTCTGCAGCTTTCTTATTTGACGTTCTCACCGAGGAGACCAGCACAGCTGAGGTGTGTTGGTGTCTTCCTGGACTGGCAGGTGATCATCATACTGATGTACACGTGGGATAGGCAACACAGGTGCTCGCCCGTGTTGAGTCTGCGAGGACATTGGCATTAGAGGATTACAGTCATGTTGCCTTTTGGCCACCTTCGAGATGGGGATATCACTTATGGGCAGTTCTAAGAGCTCGGACAATTGAACAGTAATCTACCTGCTGGCAGCCTGCTAATATGCATCCCACAGACTGTCTTGAGAACAGAGTGGTCGGAGATGAAATAAGCCAAGGAGATACTGAGGATACCGAGGTAAAGTCAGCTTTGCTAGTGCAGAACCGCTTTGAGACATTCTTCATGCTCAGAAGCATTGGTATTCTCCACAGGGACTCCGGTGGCAGCGCTCTTCAAACCTGACTCGGCAAAGTTTTCCTAGAGTATCGCAGGCGCTGGTGTCTCCACGTGAGACATGACGTAGGAAATGCTCAACTTGAGATGATTAAAAGAGGACTCTCTAACAGCACTGGGGTGTCTTAGGAACAGTGAAATTCAGTAAAGGTGGGGTGGGTGCTAAAAGAGAACTGCAAAGCCTTGGTCTTTAGTGTATGAAGAACTCTACAAGCGATTAGCACATCCTGCCTTCTGTGATCCTTCAACGATGAAGTACTTACACTAGCCTGTGATGAGAGTTAATGATTTGCATTTGGGCGAATCTACAAGGCCAGTCTGAGGGGTCTGCTTCAGGCTCGTTTCCGGCAACGCCGGCAGCAGACTCACCTGTGTCCTTGCACTTTTCACAGGACAGTGAGCCTTTTGAGCCCTCATACATAGTGGGGCATGTGGCCTCAGCCCCCAGTGAACAAAACCTGACTACGTTGTTCAGTGACGGGGAGAGCAGTCAGGTATGCGTCCTACAGCCCCTGGCGGGGGCACGCACCCCACTCTGCTTCCTCTCTCAAGCACTTGCTCATGTGACCATCCCGTTCTGCAACTGGAATCTCCTTTTTCCCTTCCCTTTGTCTCTGCCTCTCTCTAGCTTTCTGAGGATCAAGGGGTGGGAACGTGTGACTCTTCTGTTGATTGCTATTTCCTATTTTCTTTTAAACCAAAGGGTCTTAAAAACGATTTTGTTCGGAACATTTTGTGGACATTCGAAGATATACACATGCTGGTCGGCTCCAACATGCCTATCTTCGGAGGAGGCAGGTACCCAGCCGTCAGCTTACGTCTCAGGTGAGGCCTAATTGTATCCTTCCGTGATCCTAGTGGTTGATGCTCACCCTGTAGACTCAGCGTCCATCTGCTTTCCTGGTTGCACCTCCTCTACCTCTGTGACACTGGAAATGTACCTTTTCTAGCTCTTCTCCACTCCCCCCACTTTCAAGGAATGCTGAAAACCTGAGTGGGCTCTTAATGAAAAGGCCTGGCTTGTTATGAAGTCTGAATCAGCAGCTTGTATGGCTACCCTACAATTCTTTAGTTACTTCAGAAAGTGGTTTCTCAGCTCCGTCCTTAGTGACTGGTGACACAGTACCCTCCCCGCCACCTGTCTGTGATGTCATCTCATCAGCCTGAATCCTCAGGGATGCCCAGTCAGAAATGTAAACCGAGCTTCCTGAAAACCCCGAATGTATCACCCAACCCGAGCTGGTGGTGGGCCATGAGTCGGCTCCAACTATAGCCACCCAGTACAGGGTTTCTGAGGCTGTAAATCTTTACTGGAGCAGAAAGCCTCATCTATCTCCCACAGAACGGCTGGTAGTTTCGAACTGCTGTTTGTGAGGTGAGCAGCCTGACTCGTAACCACTAAGCTACCAGAGCTTCTAGCCACTGAGCTAGCTGCCTATAAATCACCAGGACACATGCTTGGCATTTTCCATCTGGGGAAGACAGTGAAATAGTTATGTGGGAGGGAGGAAAGTCTCAGGTGACTGACTATGAACCATCATAGTTAAACTGAGTGACACTGGAAATGTATCTTTCTAGGGATAACAACAAACCCATTAATGTGCTAACTGGAATTGACTATTGGTTGGACAACTTGATCTGCAATGTGCCAGAGCTTGTGATGTGTTTCCATGTAAATGGAATTGTGCAGGTAAGATACGGCGTGCCTGTTCCTGACCACATCCTCAGTGTGTAGGGGAGCAGGCAGCCGGTCCCTCACCAAAGCATTGAAGGCCCTGAAAGACAGGTGTGTGGTTGACAGAATCGAGCTGAACTCTCAGTTACTGTACTTTTCTGTTGATGATGTCAGAATTCAGACTATCACTTCACAGGTAACTAGTGAGAAGGTCAAAATATGCTAAAACCTACTTTTGTGGGTTCTAGTCTTTAATGTCAGATGCCCGTGGTTATTGCTGAAATGCTGATACTGCGACGGTATTGCAAATACTACCCAATTCTAGTGTAGGGGAAACACTGCTGAGAAAATCGCGTAAGGTCGATGACCGTTTACTTAATGAGCAGGTAGTGCAAGACACCAGGTCCCCGTAATGAATGCTGGAGTTAAAAAGAATAAGATTTTGTCATTACTCAGAGATTCAGTGTTAGAAAATCAAAATGCGAAAGGAAAGGAGAAGTTAGGGAAGCAATAATGTTGTAGCGTGCACTCAGGAGCCCCCGTGTCCCATCTGTTTTGATATGAAAGGTCACATGGGAAAAGGGACGTTTTTAACTCACCTTTGAGTGTTGTTGTTGTTAAGTGCCGTTGAGTCAGTTCCTACCCATAACAACCCTGTATAAGGTTTGTGGGGAGTAGCTGGACTTTGCAGTGCAAACCAACCTTGCCATCCAGCGCATTAACCCACACCAAGACTCCAGCCTCTACATGATGAACTGGTGTGTTTTTTATAAAGACTTGTGTACATGAATGAATGGAAAATGGTGGGGTTGAGTCCATTTTGCTGGAACCTGGGGTTCATGTAAGACAATAGTTGGGACTAATGTTGAATGCGGAACCAGGGGCTTGGGGCTGGGTTTAGTTGTAGTGAGAGGGGGACGGGGGGCATTTGGAGACGTGAGACTTGGCAGTGGTGCTGGCTCCTAGCACGCAGAGGGCCGGCTCTGTTGCAGACGCTCTGCTTGTAAGTGCTTTACCTCGTGCTCCCCTCAGTGGTCTCGAGCATTCACCTGCTTTCTGTAGAGATGAAAACCCAGGACCTGGGAGCCCACATGAGTTGCTCCGGGCCTTGTTGCTCGCAAAGGATGCTACCTGTATATGAGTTTGTGTCTGAGGTCATCGAGCTCCACCCCACAGGATTCTGAGCTGGTCATGTGTGTCGGAGTCACACATGACTCTGAAAAATACCAGCTGCTTAGGTCTTTAGCCCTCTGGGGACAGCAGGGTCTGTTTGGAAAGGCTTGTAAGTAATTCTGATTCATCCTAAAAATGGCACCGCTCAGTATAAGACCGAGGAGAGCCAAGTGGCTATGTAGAATAAGCGCTGGACTGTGAACCACAAAGTCGGTGGTTCAAGCCCATCAACTGCTCTGTGAGAGAAAGCTGAGGCTCTCTGCTACTGCAAAGATGTGCAGCCTCAGAAACCCTATGAGTCAGAACCGAGTCAACAGCGCCTCACAAGGCCAACAAGTATTAAGACCATTTCGTGGTGGGGGCGGGGATAGAGCTAGGAGAAGTCAAAGTGAACCCCAGGACTCGGAGACTCAGGGACTAGAATAACAGGATGTGAACTGGTGTACCAACAGGGAAGAGAATGTATTTATTTTCATTGCGAGTTCAGTTTGCAGGAAGTATTAACATGTCCAGTGAGCCTGTAGAAATTGCAGCCCTTAGAGAAGTTCCCGGAGGCCTCACCTGCCTGGCGGCTGTTAGATCTCATCACCCGAGGATCTAGGAGGATCAAATCCCCATGTACAGTGCAGTCAGGAGACGAGTGTGTGGGGAGGCCACGGCCAGCTGCCCAATAAGGCTGCTGCCTGGGTTTCCTCTTCAACTCCCATCCCTCTATGTTTTACAGAAGTACGAAATGATAAAGACAGAAGAGATTCCCAATTTGGAAAACTCAAATTTCTCAACTAAAGTCATAAAGGACATTGCACAGAACATCCTATCATTTCTGAAATCCAACTGTACCAAAGAAGGGCACACCTATTGGCTGTTTAAAGGTCAGCGAGCTCTTGAGTGGACTAAGGAGTTCACATGGGTGACGACTGCTGAGTGAGATGGGTTTTTCTTTTCAGCAAGTGGCAGTGACGTAGTGAAGCTGTATGACCTCACGACTCTGTGTGAGGAGACTGAAGACAAGTACCAGAACCCGTTCACCATGCCCGTGGCTATCCTCCTGTACAAGTGAGTGCTCGGGGGCTGGGGGGAGCAGCAACTCGCCGCCGCGCCCCCCAGTCAGACGTTACAGATGTTTGGGGTTTCCGTAGTTTAAAAATAGATGTTGACATAATGAGGGGCCTTCAGAAAGTTCACAGACAGACGGACCTTAGAGGTCCTGGAGTTTTTCCTCCAACTTTGTGAAGCCCCCTCGTATTTGAATGAAAGCAGCTGTTAACTCTGCCTGCCTGTGAGCAGAGTGAGCTCTGGGGGTGAGATGGACTCAGTTGTTTCTAAGAGCTGTTGGGCTTTTGGAAGAGAACTTCACTAGATGTGAGGCATGGTGAGAAAGATGGCCGGGAAGTAAAGCTGGCATTGACGTTGTTTCAGGGTGGCCGGGAAGTAAAGCTGGCATTGACGTTGTTTCAGGGTGGCCGGGAAGTAAAGC